ACGCCTTATAGGGGTAAAATCGTGAGGTTTGGGGAGTGTGTACTTGCCCGTGTCAAGAGCGCCGCCAAAGGCAAGCCTAGGCGGTTGAGAGCACTGTGGCTTGGAAAGTCAGACATCGCAGATACTCACTTGGTGGTGACCAGCTCAGGTCGCCTGGTATCAGCAAGATCTGTGAGACGGACCGCCATTGAGTACGATGTTGGCCTTTGCAGCGTTTTGAGGGACACTCCTGATCAGCATGCATCATTCCTTGCAGGTCGTGTAGGCATGTCCAGAAAGCAGGTCACTCCATGTGGAGTGGATGTTGTGGAAGCTCCTAGTGAGGAGGAGTTGCACTATTCGCCCAGCAATTTGCCAGGCACAGATGAGGAGGAAGAAGTTATTGATGACGTTGCTGACATTGCACCTACGCCGATGTCAGTGAGGCCTGCTGATCATGTTCCCCAGACTCCTGATGCTGAACTTCCTCCGCATGTTTCTGAGAGTTCCTCACGCGTGCGTCCACCGCCAGCAAGTGCAGCCATTGCAGCAGGTCAGGTTGAGGTTCCAGGTGCGACAGACCCTAACCCCGGTTTAAGTAGGGGTATAGGTCCCGGTATGCCAATGACCCCTCCTAGTCACCTGCCACCACTTCCTAGCGGTTCGGATATGGATATGGGAGTGGACCCTAGTTCTGGGTTACCCTTGCAAGAGTCCGATGCAAAGCGCAGGCGAGTGAATGCCATCACCAAGAATCATCCACATGTTGATGAGGTTGTCATCTTAGATGACTTGGGCCTTGATGCTGACGTTGAGCAATCAGGCGAGGGTTATGATGATGACGATGCTGAGGAGCATGAGTCAGGTGATTCCAGCATCCCTTCCGAGCTTTGGAGGGCGTATAGCGATGGCGAGCCCACCATGTCGGTGGATGAGCTTGCACAACTGGATTACATTTCCGCAGCGTTTGAACTTGATCGACTTGTCAAACTCGGTCCCGGTGTTCTGGAAGAGCTGAGTTGGTCAGATGATCTCAGCAATTTTCGCACGTTGTCGACCAAAATGGTCACAAGCTGGAGGTTAAAGCCTGCCCCATCCGGTGAGGGAGATGCATACCTCAGGCGATCAAGGTTCGTTGCAAGAGATTTCCGCTGGATGAACCACATGATGGATGATGAGGTGTTTGCGCCTGCGAGTTCAAATGTGCTTGTCAAAGTGTTGCCTGCCATTCTTGTTTCTCACCAGTTGGGTGATGAGCCTTGGGAGGCCATGTCATTGGACGTGGTTGATGCTTATCTTACTGTGCCCCAAAAGGTACCAACGGTGGTCCTTATGGGAATAGGGTATTTAAGCTTCTAAGAAACTTGCCAGGACAGCGAACCGGGGCAAGGGATTGGTTCGAAGCGTTCCAGGACCACCTGATAAGTGAGCTCAGCATCCAACCACTTGTTGAAGCACCTGCCCTATTTTACATCCAACCAAAGCATGGTCCAACTGTCAACCGTGGCGGGGACCTGAGTGCAAGCCATGGCGGGAAGTCAAATCAGGTGATCATGGTGAGTCAGGAGGAGGTGGATTGTGTCATGTTGATGACATGTTCGCCATTGGACCTAAGGGCACTGCCAAAAGAGTTGGTGACTGTGTGAAGTCAAAGTACAAGTGTACTATGGCTACCCTGACTCAGGTCGGTGACGAGCTCAGTTTCCTCAAGCGCAGACACATGTGGATCAGGGATGGTGTGTTAGGGATAGTCCCGAACCCTAAGCACATTGATACCCTGTGTGGTTTGCTAGGAGTTGCCCACCAGAAGCCCAAGCAGACCCCGTTTCCCACTGGTGGCACTCTGCCTCTTTGGGTGCAAACAACTGCCTTGGATCCTGAAAGGTCAGCCGTTTACCGCAGATGCGTTGGCGTATTGCTTTATGTGGCCTCCGACATGCCTCATGCACAGTTTGCCATAAAGACTTTGGCGAGCTTCAGCTCAAGTCCGAATGAAGGTGCATGGAAGTGCCTGAGACATCTTGGGAACTATCTCTTTCATCATCGATATGTCCCCAGCCTGCAGACTGAAGGAAAAGGCCATGGATTGGTGGTCAGATCACAGGATCATGTCCTTGAGATCTTTGCCGACTCGGACTGGCAAGGGAACAAAGCTGCAAGGAAATCAACCTCAGCAGGCTGCATTCTATTCAACGGGATGACGATCCATTGCTTTAGCCGTTCCCAGAACTGTGTTGCACTGAGCTCAGCAGAGGCTGAGTACATTGCCTGTGTGAGTGCCACATGCGACGGCATCCTGTTGAAAGCTGCGCTGAGCCATGTGCTTCAGGAACGCGTGGAGGTTCACCTCTTCACGGATAGCAGTGCAGCGCGTGGCCTGATGAATAGGCGTGGGGTTGGCAAGCTGAGGCACATCAGTGGAAGATTGATGTGGTTGCAAGACTTCATTAATAAGAACCATGAAGCCACCCTGCATGCCATTCCGACTTTGACCAATCCTGCTGATCTCATGACTAAATCCCTTGCGAGCCAAAGGATCAACTGTCTGTGCTTCAGCCTCGGCATTGAGGAATGAGGATGAAGGATTTGAGTTGGTTGGATCAGAGGAGCATGAGCAGCAGCGTCAGCGTGAGGAGGCAAAGAAGTTCCTGCGTGCCATTACGCGAGGAGGTCATAGCCATGGCAATACATTGCAAGTGATGGCATTGTTGTTGCAGCTTGTCGGGAGTGGGGCTACGGATGACCAGGAGCACACCTTGGGTCAATCACGTTCCGAGAGTTTGCCGTCAGATGCACGCCTCCCTAACAGGAGAGCCGTGACTTTGATTCTCCTGATCACGATCTTTGCCATTGCAGTTGCCACATGCCTGACGCACCCAGATCACCCTAGGGTTGTAGGGTTTAGGTCCCTCCTTAGCACCCTAGTTGGTTGGTTCCTTAGTTGGTT